AAGTAATTATTAACATTGATATATATACATGTTGTATTGTTCATTAGTATAAGTATCAAATCACGGGCAGGCATGGATTTATTAGCTGTATTTTTGATAAGTTATAAACTTTGCATTCTAATTGTATGAACGTTTTATTTTAGATTTCTGTAGTTGTAAAAGGTTAAATTTTTTTATTTTTTTTACCCTGGTTGTAGCAACTGTTTTAATCCATTACAGTACATTAAGAATTACAAATTTTTATTTAGGATAGTATGGATAAAGTGTTTCAAAAACTGTTACAAATTGTGTTCAATATGCTGTTATTCTCATTCAGCATTTAAAGCCTATCCCCAACCGAGGGTGCTGCAGGTCTCATCGAATATAAACAATGTTCATCCATTCTCATAGTACCTCACACACTGAAAAGTATGTTAATCAAATAATTAATCTCATATTCTTGATTGAAGGAAATAAAAACAGCATTACTTCGCAAGTAATTTAGATATACAATATAATGTAGTTTTCAAACACCTTCAACAAGTCCAAACTTTCATGAATACAAACTGAAATTATGTCCCTCTAGGAGGTAGTTTTTAAGACAGTCATTTTGAATAAGAGATTTTCGTTACTATTATCCGTATACCAATCTAACTATATTTTTCGAACAATATGTAACCACACATATAATATGATTAAGCTTTCACACTTTTCCTTGACATTTAACATGGTGGGGTTTGATTAGATGTGTACCATAGATTTCTGCTTGGAGTTATTACATCTCTCCTGATTACCTTAGAATAAAAGTAACCAATTTTAATAAACTGAAGATCCAAGAACTGGTTAGAGAAGAATATAGACTACTTGCAGTTAGTAAAAGATTTATCATATATAAACAATATATTGTGTTTGTTTGTACATAATACATATCTTTAAATCCTTACCTTTACACTAGGATTTTTTGACCCAATAGGAGCTGTTCGTAAAACAACTTTCAAAGCATCAATGTTTTTGCCTGTATAAAGAGTTAAAGTTAAACTCTGACTTTGTAAACATAGAATGCTTTAATGTATCTTTATAACCTGTTAAATAGTTTTATTGCATAATTATTTTGTATTAAGTGTAATGCAATATGGTATAAAGGCTAACATATACATTATTAATGTACATACATGCATATGTGTGTGCAAACAAAGAAAAAAAAAAGGAAATCAAATTAAGCCTAGTTCACATACATTACTACAGATTTTGGGGGTTCATCAATACAAAATCTTTATTAAAAATTAAATAAAACGGATTTCATAAAGTAGAATATTCAATTAAGAAAGCTTGCGAGCAAGTTTTATGTTATGTTTCATTGAGAATAAAGAGAAGTTATAAATTCAAAACACCAATATTCTTCTAGGCAAGTTCTTTCAGTAGTACTGTACGAATGACTTTAAAGCTTCTCAAGATTAGGCTTGTCAAAATGATGTTTGAAAGAAACAAATAGAAACAGTGCAAATATGTGCATACACTGTGATCTAATAAACTTCTAAAACACACTGTCTCTAAAGCACCTTTCTACTACCTATTTTAATTTCTTTGAAGCATTTAAATGGAATCGTATAAATTTTGACAAGCATTAATTATTTATTTTTGGAAAATAAAACTTAGTTAGCCGTTTTTATTGCTTAAAATAACAATCATATATTTTAGCATGTTTCATTTAAGTTCTTGCAGTAACCATAATTGTTCTTATACATTTGTCAAATTAAACATAAAACCGTTGAAAAATATTAATACAGTAATAAGTAAACCACGCCGATTATAAATTGCCGATGTCAACAACAAAAAAGGCAAACATTTTAAATATACAAATTGCAATAAATATTACTTAAGTTGTTACTCAATTTGTTAATGTAAAATGATTAGCCATATATTTAATGTTAACATTATTTCCAATATTACGTGTTATTATTAAGTCAAGCCTTAACATAACGATAAACATAAATGATAGATAAAATTGACACTGGCACGTAGCAATAACTTCAAGAATAACCATTAACCAAACTTTTACAAAAACTGAAAAGTAGTAAAACTAGAAAAAATAATAATAAAGGATATTGATTCAAATATGACATAATCTCGTGTTCATCAGGTCCTGCTGGGGGTGATGGTGCTTCACTTCCTTCTTCATCTTTATACAAATCTTCATTATATTGGTCCACATCAATTTTTCGAAACCCAAACCCAGCTGTATTTTTAGCCATTTTATAATATTCTTCAACTATTGTTACTAAGCCTAAATGTGGTGTAGTTCAGAGTCCTCTGTACTTCAATATAGTAAGATCTAAAACAACTTGCTTCGGGAGAACCACTGATAGAACGCCATATTTAACCCATCTTGAAACATGTTTTGAACAAGTCCAAAATTAGAAATTTCAGCAATTAATATTCACAGTTTTATGTGGACATACAGTAAATAAATAAACATATAAATCTAACCTACTAAGAGACAAAATTCTGTGCATGTAGCTAAGCTTGTCTGAATTCTGAAATAATTAAAGGACAATACTTAGGATATGTCGTCGAAATACAACTGTTATACTTAAGTATTTGTTTCGCATAGAAGAGCTTTAAAATTTGAGACCATGTATCATCCAGAATTGAAAATTATGCCCATAGAAAAGCACATGTTGGAAATGTGACGAACAATGAATTCAATAACAAAATAGATCTTATGAATCCATCAAAATTATTTAAAATAATAATAACATCTAAAAGTAACATTTTTGATCCTCATTACCGATATTCATTCATTCGGTATGTCATTCAACGTCTTTTCAGGAGGGTCCGAACAATGTCGCTACCTTTTATTAGACTTGAAACCGCTCCGATACTTTTACAGTTGTCTAGAAGTACGCCAAATATCTAACCCTTTTTTCTTCTCTCTTTAATACGAGTACATATGGTAAGATGCGACAATGAAATAAATTTAGTTAATAAACTATAACAATTCAGAGTGGCTATTTCAGGCTGACACATGTTGGTCTGATATAAAATTATAGACAAATCAGTTACTCTTTTTTTTTTCTTTTTTTAAATACAAGAACTTCACAAACCATTATGGATCCTATTTTCTCCCACTTCAAGCATTGGATATTTGTGTATAGGTATCAAACAGTTTATTTTTATAACAAATAAACACCTTAGGTACCTCATAAATCCTAAGCGGATTTTGAATATTTTGTCAGGACATTTTCAGTACCATTTGAATACTTTCCCTTAAACATTAAAATAATTTAAAAACTGTATGAAATATTACCATTCTAGTTGTTGCAAAAATCAAGGAACAAAGCGGATTTTGTATAACTAAACATTTATTATTTTGTTTTACGGTATATAAATATATCATGTGTTTCTATCTTTTTTATATTGTCACAGTATTTATTTTGTGTATGTGCAAGTTTCACGTAACACATGCTCGAGAAGGCTGTTAAGTTCATCCCGTTTTAGTTGCCTTTGATATTCTATAAGTGATATTACCTGTTCTGCGCATGGAATATTTGCTGTAATGCTGCAGTTTGTGTAAATATGTTGACAACGGTATCCTTCAATGATAGTTCAGGTGATATATCGTGGCTAGGCCTCATCTGTGTTCAATGAGAATGACAAGCATATAATAGCGTTAGTCGTTGCGGGTAAATTAAGATTGGATCAAGAGTAAACAGTCTGAATGAAGACAGAGAATTCACTAAAAGCAAGTACCCACACAATATTTGTGAATCAATAAAGATTGTTTATCCAGTATTCTACTTCATGTCTGGTCTCTTTACTTCATTTTTCTCAAATTCAGTTATCCATAAATATAGTATTATTCCACGATAAGTATCTTGTCTATCCACTTGCTAGGTGGACCTGCCTCGCTGCTATAAAGTCAATTCAGTTCGACATGGATATACGACACTAAATTTCTCGAAAGTAGTAGTTTGATGCTCTGAAGGTTTCCATATAGAGCCTACAAATTTTGAGGTTGGCATTTCTTCGATTTTGTCAAATTCTTCCTCGATAAGTTATCTTTGTTTGTAAATGTTTGGTTTCAAAATGCGCACTTGCCATTACTTTTGAAATTAATCGATTCTTCAAATAACACTAGGTGGCACTTAGTGGTTTAAGTTATTTTGAATTTCGCGCAAAGTTACAAGATGGCTGTCTGCGCTAGTTGTCCCCAATTTTGCAGTGGTAGACTAGAAGAAAGGCAGCTAGTTAACACCACCAACGAATAGTGGGATTGTCCTTTACTTATAACGTCCCCCACGGCTGAAAGAGCAATCATGTTCAGTGTGACGGCTATCGAACCTGCAACTCGAGCGCCCTAATCACTAGGAAGTCATTTAAATGACTCTGGCTTTATTAGTCCCCCTCCAACAAAGCACCATGGTCCAGAATTATTAAAAATAATCCCATTTATAGTTAATTAACGGTCACAAATATCTATATTAAAAAAAGGCCTACACCCTTTTTTGTTGTTATTGAAATAGCTATAAATTTCACCCTTCCATAACTAGTACAAAATGTGTCTTTATTGAGATATAATTATGTGATTTTTCAACATTTTATGCATGTAATTATGATATTTTTCATTCACCAATGTCGTAAGGTTGTAAACGAGACAATCCATTTATTGTTTGTTTGTTTTGAATTTCGTGCAAAGCTACACGAGGGCTATCTGCGCTAGCTGTCCCTTAATTTAGACAGTGTAAGAACTAAGAAGGAAGGCACGCTAGTCATCAACCCACC